AGACGTGTGCTCTTCCGATCTCTAGTCGAGTGACATTTTCACCACCATTTACTCGTTTTAAAATTGTCAAACGATCATCAATACTAAGTCGTTTTTTATTTTTATGATTCTACAATAAATATGACAATTTATTGTAGAATCATAAAAATAAAAAACGACTTAGTATTGATGATCGTTTGACAATTTTAAAACAAGTAAATGGTGGTGAAAATGTCACTCGACTAGTAAAAGAATATAACGCCAATAATGTGACAGTCCTACGCATAAAGAAATCCGAAGAAAAGTTAAAAAGAAATCTTAATATTCTTCAGATGACTCATGGAAATATGTCTAAAAAGAGATGCACAGGCATATCGAAGGCAACAAGTTGGAACAAAGTTTATATAATTGGTTTCTTCAAAAACGAAGTATTGGTGATCCTGTAACTGGGCCAATGTTAAAAGAAAAAGCACTGGCATTTAATATTCTATTAAACGGTCCTTCGAATTTTAAAACCAGTAATGGTTTTTTAGACAAATTCAAGAACCGACATAATATTAGATGTTTAAGTATCCATGAGGAAAAACTCTGCAGATAAAGATGCAAGCGATAAATTTTGTCAAGACTTTTTGCAGTATATCACGGAAAACCAAATATCATTAGATACAGTATATAATGCAGATGAAACTGGTCTCAATTGGAAAATATTACCAAACATCACAATGGTCTCTAATGAAGAACGTAGAGCTCCAGGAAGAAAAGCACGTAAAGATAGAGTTACATTGATGGTGTGTACTAATGCTTCAGGAACTCACAAGCTTCCACTTTTATTTGTGGGAAAATATAAAAAGCCACGTTGTTTTAAGAATGTACATTCTCTACCAGTTATTTATATGTCACAAAACAAAGCGTGGATGGACCAAAATTTAATGTTAAGATGGTATCAAGAAGTCTTTCTTCCGGAAATAGAGAAAGTTCATGGACCCAATTCAAAACAATGTATTCTCCTTTTGGATAATGCTCCAAGCCATCCATCAGCTGAGCACTTGAATGCAATAAGTGAGCGATGCCAAGTGAAGTATCTGCCTCCTAATGTAACTTTGCTTATACAACCGATGGATCAAGGAATTATAGCAAAGTGTAAGCATATTTATAAAACTAACCTTTTAAGAGTAATACTAGCAAAAGATACTTTTGAAGAAGTTGAAAAGCAATTAAAATCATTCGATTTGTTACAATGTTTCTACTTAATAAGTAATGCATGGAATGAATTGACAAGCAATAATATAAGAAATGCTTGGAAGAATATTTTTCCATTCCAAAAAATGGAAATTTAGAGTCTGAATGTGACAGAACCTCTCTAATACATACATTAAATATTAGATCTGAGCTTCACAATATGACTAAAGAATTAATTAATGAATGGTTGCATAGTGATGACAACGATCAAGAATGGCATATACAAAATGATGAAGAACTAGTATTTTCAGATGACAAAGAAAATGAAAAGGAAAATAATACACATGATAACGATGAAGATGACAACACTAATAATAGTGATGTTGTTACTGCAGACGATGCATTCAATGCATTTAATACATTCATATCCTATTATAAGAATCAACCTCAAAGCTTTAATCTTGATTGGGATTCTATTTATAAATTTTGGAATATTATTTTAAATGATATACTGCAGAGCACATATTCAAGTTAAAATGATAATATTTTATAAAACATTGAATATTTTCTTTTATATTGCTAAAATATTTATTTTTATTTTTCATTTAATACGAATCTTTAAATAATATATGAATGTTATTTTCTTTTATACTGCAGAGCACATGTTCAAGTTGAAACGATAATATTTTATCAAACATTGAAACATTTCTTTTATATTGCTAAAATATGTATTTTTATTTTTCATTTATGTAATACGAATCTTTAAATAATAATATGAATGTTATTACATTTTTAAGTTGATTTTATCAAACGACAGACTTATTTATGCTGAATAATTATATACTTATGTACGTATTATGAGGCACATTCTTTTTTAAAATAAATATTTCTGTAATTTAAATATGTATTTATACATATGTATTAATTTTTTCTTTTTTATCATATAACAGAATTCATGTACATTAAAATGTGTAATTAGTTAATTTTCAAGTCATAACAATCAATATAACTTATGGTTAGAATTGACTGTTTTCACACGTCATGCGCATGCGTTAATATATGTAATGGGGAGTCATTATAAGAGAGGGGGTTATTATATGGGAAGTTAAGACGTGA